TCACCATTCATTTCCAATGGCTGGCGTCTATGTCACGTTAAAATGCGTTTTGATGTAATTTGATGCGAGAAATATGAGTTGTTATTTCAGATTATGTGTGCAGTGGATGTACATGATCTTTAGTTTGCTAGTTATTACGAAGATTACTTCAGGAAATTGTGTACAATGTTTTCATTGTTACCAAGGTGGTTGCTATGGACGCTGCTATGCTCTCAAATTGTAATATTAGAACGTCTTTTTTCAGGAAATTGTGTACATTCAACGTATTTTAAGTGTTGCTAATGCTAACAAGCATGTTGTTTAAACATTCTCTCTGATGTTATATTATTTCTGTTATGTTGTGTAACTGTTTAATGGTGTTATCTTTATTGCTACCCCCTTCCCCGTCAATTTATAGTGTTGGTCCACAGCGCAAAAGTATTAGTTTAACAAAATCTGCATCTAAAATTGTTGCATAGGTACGTTATTTTCCCCTGTGCAATTCTCATGGCTAGCGTCACGTGATGTTTACTTTTCTCTGCATGTAAATTATAAAGATGGCGGACACTCGTTTACAGTTCATAATGCGCAGGTATTATTTGTGTACTTAATGGCAACGCTACAGGCCTGGCATTTCCTGTGAACCCGGAAGTCATAATAGTGTAATGTTCCACAATAGGAGTCGAAAACAGGCCTCAAGTTCTTAGGTTTAATAGCTCCTTTGGTAGCATACAAATACAGGTTCATAGGTCACAGGTTACAGGTCGCAGGTTTAACGTCACACAACAGGGTCAACGTCACACACTCTCCAGCCCTCCCCCCTCTGCTCCCCCAACCACACCTACCAGCATTACTATGCAGCTCTGTGATTGGCAGAGAGACGGAGCATGCTACAATACCGGTTTCAGCCTGTTTTAGGAAGTTCTTTAAATAGGCTACGTTTTAAAGTCCGGCAGAAAGTCTCAGAAGCGATATTAGCAGTTCAATTGGAAAGTCGTCATATACTTTCTGATTTGCATAATGAATCCACTGGAAGAAAATGACGCCATATTTCTTGCTGATGTGCTCTTGGATGACATTGTGGTAAGTTTGTTTTAAAGGTATCTCCGAAATGTGAACGCTAGAGTGAAGAGCTAACGTGTGAAACACTGATAACATTAGCTTCGTTCGACATTCTTTCATAATGTTTCGTACTCTTTAGCTTTAAATAGTATGGCCTATGATGTAAGCACAGTTCTATATATTTTTTGACCGAATGTAGTGTAGCGACCCGGTATAGGGTGCTGTGTGGGTCACTCAAGCATCCCCCGTCTCTCTGCCAATCACAGAGCTGCACAGTAATGCTGGCCGGTGTGCGGGCCTGTGGTTGGGAGAGCAGAGGGGGGAGGGCTGGAGAGTGAATGACGTTGACCCTGCTGGTGTGTGAGTGAGGGAGTGGAGTACTGTGTGATGTAGAACCTGCGACCTGTAACATGTGACCTATGAACCTATATCTGTATGCTATCAAAGGAGTTATTAAAACTAATAACTTGAGCCCTGTTTCCGACTCCTATTGTGGAACGTTACAGTATAATGCAATGATAGTGAAGTTTTCATAATGAGATTATCACAATGTATAGGTGGTGATTGACGTTTTAAGTAAATATGTTCTGTGTCCTGATTATGATTTAAAGGAGGATCAAAGTAAACCAACAGCAGGAGGGTCGCAAACAAGGACAATGGTTTGGCTTGAAGAGGACCATGACGGTCAACCAATGCCAAAAAGGAGGCGAACTGGAGAGAAACGGAAGCGCAGTTCGGCCACTGGTTTGTGTTTTTGTTTTGTTTGTTGTTTACATCAATTAATTGTAGATCAATAAATTAACATATTCTTCAAGGAAGTTATTAAATGCATCTTCACAATTTTGCAGGTGCTTCAAGAAGTGTAGATCTTGTATGTACTCCGTCTTCTAGTGGTCAAGAGAGAGAGACTGGGACCATCCAAAGCTTAGGTATGTTTTTCCTACACTTAATGATGATTGTTTCCCCACTTATCATGTAGTGGTTAGCTAGCTTGACCCTTGCTTTATATATGTACTTTTTCTACTTCATTTTTAAGACTCCCTCATACAAGAGGTACAAGTGTTTCCACAGGAAAGGAAGTCATTTTGATTGGAATTAATGGTAAGAACATTTCAAGACTTTTCTCTTTGTTTTCTTTGCTGTTATGTATTCCGCTTTTGAGCCAGGGATTCAAATGCATTTTAGCTCTTTGTCACACTTAATTTAAACTATCACCAATTAAATCAAAGAAATGTATGAAACTACCATTCAATAGAAACTGTTTTTTTTTGTAGTTGATACTGTATCATAGTAATTATTTGTCTCTTTACATTTCAGGGCGATACAATCTGTTCCTTCCACAAATAAACTGCACCTGTGGAAAGACTTGGTCGATAGGCATAGGTGATCTGGTTGAAAGTGGCTATTGGCCAGCCACTGTCAATTTTGAGACCTTGTACGCAGTGGATTTGTTCACTACCCACGAAGATCTCAAGATCACTGCCCCTGGAATGTCACGGCAAGCTTTTGTCAGCATGCTCGAACATCGGACAAAGCTCTTCGGTCGGGTGAGTACAAGATGGAAGTAACTGTACAATTTAAATTGTAGTGTGGAAGTTTAAGTTCAAAATATATTTGTATGATTTTAATTTAAAAAAAATCCTTTCTATTTGCTTTTAGAGTGGTAAGATATGTGGCGACACACTGCAGAAGTCCTTTCTGGAATGGACCTATGCCAAATTTGAGGTCGAAAGGCTGTCTCAGGTGCAGCATTTTCAGTGCCCTTCATGCCCTCTCTATGTTGGCTGTCGCAGTCGATGGGAACCGTAAACTCTACCGCTTTAAGAGCCAACCAGGGTGTGTAGAATTTTCTCAATTTGAAATGTTAGAGTGCCTTTTATGGTACTTTTGTACAATAATCAATCTTTTCTTCTTTAAGACCTTGTGGATTTTTCGACGGAGTGTTTTTAGCCAAGGATGCTGAAGTGTCATCCTTTGTCGATTACATCCATGGGACAACAAGACACGTAAAGTTATTTTACATTCTCCATATTTTAAGACATGCATTTGTAAGTTTAATGAACACTTGTAGCATGCTTCTCGCCTTTGTTGTGTATTAATATGATGTCCCCATTGTGTAGGCAATGTCTTCAGCATACTTCCGGTCTCCTGTCTATATGTCTCTATATTCTTTCATCTGTTTTAGAATCCTGCAAAAGGAAGATGTGGTTCCGGTCAGTGGTCGGCTGACTGACTGTCAACAAGTCTGCCAGCAAACTAGATGAGGAAGGCGTGGAGGTTGCTGTCTGCCGTCATGGGTTCTTGCTTAAGGGATTGAATATGTTCCGTGGAGAAATTTTTGCATATCCTTTATATCTGCAGAAACAGCTTTCTTCACGGAATGTACAGTTTTTTTGCTCTGATGTGGTCTGCAAATACTGGCCATATCTGCAGAGGGTTGCGAGCCACTGTCCAGAGCTGCAAAACCTTTTGAACATGCGTCCATTTCTGTCCATCATGCATGCCAAAGCACATTCATGGTTGTGTGAGGTAAATACAATAATTGGCACAAGACAACATTACTCATTTTCTTAATTTTTCTGTTATCCAAATGGTAACAGTCGTCTAAATGTGTTTACAGTTGCGATGGGGAGGACGGAATCAAAAAGGAGCAGGGAATACAATAGGGGAGGAGGTTGAACAGGTGAACAGCTTCCTCTCTCGAGCAGCCATATGTTCGAAGTACATGTCAAAAGCTGGTAAGTCTTTTTCATGCAAACTCAATTATTGTATTTTTGGTTTCCTGGCCTAATATACATTCTGTCTTCAGTTCGCACGGACATGCTTACAATCCAAGCAAGTGGCTGGAACAAGCGAAAGGCAGCAAACCTTGAGCAAACAGTGGCTAAAAGATACATGAAGGTACTGACTACACACATATGTTTATTTAAAACTATTTTTTTTTAATGTTGGTCAACATTTTGTTACTTTGATATTTGTTTTGACAGACAGTGCAAAGGATTACAGAAGCAACAGAGGATCTGGAGAAACTCACCGCTGAATTGTCACTACTGGACGACCAAGTGCAGCAGTGGGTATCTGATGTTCAGCAGTGGGTATCTGATGTTCAGCAGTGGACTACAGGTACTGTGAAAAAATTATTTCTTGCACAATAAAAAAAAAGCGTATTTTTCGCTATTCTGTTGTAGGCTATATGGCCGTGAAAGGGTTTGATTAGAGTTTTGTGTGAAATAATTGTTATACTTCTCTTCACAAGGAACACCCATTCAAAATGACCTGCAGAAGACCATTGAAGGACTGTATCTGAGCATCAAGCAGCGAACATTTCAGCTGTATCGCCAGTCTGGTGTGAATTGATTGACTTATGCCTCCTAAGGCAAACCAGCCCCTCCTCTTCTATCAGGGGTACCTCTATGCTAGTAAAGTCCATCATTGGAAGGAGGTCTACAGAGAATAGGATGAATGACTGATCTACAGCAATGGGAATATTGTTTATTTTATTGTCATATAAAAAAGAAATTCCCAGTGACTATTTGTATAGTCCCATTGATGTTATAAACAATGCAGTTGCTGCTTAAAAACAACTATAAGGTATATTTAAAGTATAAATTAATTGGGGTCATCCATTACCACTTCTGTGCAAATGCTTTGAGGAGCGAATCTCCGGTCATTTCTCGGCCGGCTGGACCATTTGCTGGCAACCCTTGCCCTATTTTTCCCTCCCAAATATCCTTTCTGTTACTGTCAGATAAAGACGTAAAATGCCATCAAAATGAATAGATAAATGATAAATTCTGTCCCTGCCTGTTCTAAGTATACGCATGCCTAGATAGGGAAACAAATGTATTCACTAATATTTCATAGATGGTACTGTATCTATTGAAACATGTTGGTGTGTAATTAAGATTATACTAAAACAAAATGTTGGTTCAAGTTCTGGCAGGTGGCAATAAGCGGAGACACAAACTCCGAAAAAAGATTGTTGAAGAGAAGAAAGCCTTGGAAGATGCCATCACTGAACACAATGCTGTTGCCGGGGAAACAGACAAACTCCCTCCTCCTAACGAGCTCTTGGCTGAGGACAACTACTCCTGGAAATGGGAATGTAAGCAAAACCATGTGTATAAACTTATTTGGTGTATTTTGTGCATTTGAAAACTCTGCAAGATAATTTAAGTAGTTACACTTTTCAATGTTTTTATTTATTGGGAAGTTATTCTTCACACTTGCCTTAAGCTGTAGGGACCATAATGATGATGATACATTGAAAACGTATGTTGTTGATTGAACCAGAATCAATCAATTAGTCAAATTATAATATTGGACACATTTATCTGGACACTGGTGTGTAGGACCACAACAAAATAAAACAACATTGCAAACAGTGGTTATGGTATAATTCATATTATCATTGTAACAACTAAATATTAGAAAATCATGATTAAATGTGCAGACTTTATATCTTTAAAATGCTTTTGTCTGTGCTTACATATATATATATATATATATATATATATATATATATATATATATATATATATATATATATATATGTATATATATATGTATATATATATGTATATATATATATGTATATATATATGTATGTATGTAATGCCATAAACCTGCCAGGCTAAATCTGGCACATATGCATGATGTCTTCCTGTGCTTATGTTAAATACTGTGCATTGTTCCTCCTCAAATAGATGAAATACATGGAAAGACACTTAATACACATTAGCTGAAGTACACACCTTGATCTAAATGTAAGATAATTGATAACGCTTTGATGCACTTTGCAGGTCATGGTGATATGGTACAGAAAAGGTTTACGACAAGGTAATGCTGCTGACAAGACTGAAAGAGGAAGCTGTTATTCTGGTTCATGAAGTCAAACAGCTCTGGGAGTACATGAGGAGCGTGGCAGGAAAGATTGATCACCTGTCCTCCCAGCTTTCTGAAGGCATCTCTGGACAAAGTTAGTACAATAAATGATTATTGTTGTTGGTAGTGTTTTGGTCTGGCAATAACATTTGGCTTATTTGATGATTTATTTATTTGATGTCATACATTCTCAGGCAGTACTGAGGCGTTGACGGAGAGAGGACGTGAGGGGCTACTTTGTGTTCTAAAGAAACAACTCCACAAAGTGAAAGCGCAGCAGGCCATGGCACGTATTGCATACCAATGCATTTTGGGACAGCAAACGGTGTCTTTGGATGACCCTCTGACAGTAGCTCCTCTACTGATGAAGAACTTTGACAGCAGTGAATGACTTCAAGCTATAAGGCTGCTTTAACACCTTGGAACAAAGTTCTGGTCCTGTTCACACTGACCTTTCACAAACTAACCAAGATAAATTACACCTCTACAGACTGACTAAATAAACTAATGATTGTCATCCTGCATCATCAGAAGCTCCAATGGGTACATCTAATTCCAGTGACTGACAATTATCAGTTGTCGTCCATATGTATTATCATGGTTACCAAATGATATATGCATTGCCTTAGACCAATCAGGGTATGTGTTTCTGTACTGATTTCACATCAGAAGTTAAGCTTTTGCCATCATTGTAAAATCACATATTTCTGCTATCATAAAAATCCATAAGAACCTGTCTCACAATGCCTTGGTGAAACTTGAATACAGTTGTCATTGCTGCAAGAATGTGCATACCTGTCATTGATTGCTTTTGTACAGATTTTTATTTTAATAAAAACGGAATAAGAATTGACTTTCTCTTTATACAAAAACGTAATGAAATGAATAACTGAGAACTGTTCCTTAAGTGCAATAACACAGATGCAGGCACCCACAGGGAGAGACAATGACAGAGACACACAACATACATACCAGTACATTCATGTCAGTGTAAATATATTGTGTAGTCCATCAGTTCATTGCACAGTATTTGGGAAGAGTTAGTTAGAATCAGTGCATGTCAGAGTTCAGAGTGGTGAATGCCCTTGGGAGAAAGCTGATCTTGAGTTGTTTTGACCTTGTTTTAATACACCTGTAGCGCTAGCCAGAGGAGAGTGAAACCAGAATAGTGAGCTGTGTCTCTAGATGTTCCTTGCTCTGCTGAGACAGCGAGAGCAGTAGATGTCCATCCTATTTGTCTGCCACTCTTGTCTAAGGCAAAACTGACACTAAATGACAGACTGTTTCCTGTCTTCGAAGTAGCTATGAGAAATAAACTAAATGTATTATTACTACATGGTCCTCTCATGTCTTCCTACAGAAACAGTAAATCCAGACAAAAATATGGTACTGACTTAAACCGAGTACAAAAGTGAAGGAAATCTCCAATTACTCAAGAGATAGCTGTGGTAATTTGACAACTTAACCCTCCTGTTGTGTTCGGGTCAAATCTGACCAATTTACTACTTTCATCAATCATAACCTTTTTGTTTTACATTCAATTGCATTACGGCTTTATGATATGCTTCACAGTAGACATTTGAACATTCATTTTCATTGAACTTTGGATGATTTAGTCAACTTTGTAACACCCATGGTGTTAGTAACCATCCGGATCAGATCTCACACACACACACACACACACACACACACACACACACACACACACACACACACAGTGTTCCCCCCGTTATGTGCCCATCCCCCCATGTGAATCACACCTGGCACACGCAATACATGTTCAGTGTCTATTCTTTGTATATTTACTGCAGTTCTTCATGTATACCACTAGTCTGATACAATATGTACAGTTTGAAAGGGTGTTAAATGACATTTGGTGATGATTAATGGTTTTTGTTTTTAATGTAATAGCAGTTAAAACAGGACCGGTCAAATTTGACCGCGAACACCAAAGTAAGGGGGGGGAAACGAACACAACAGGAGGGTTAATAGGTCATAACAGGGTCCTGTTAAAATATATCTGTACAAACAATGTGAAACTATATATTATACATTAGTGTAAGTTGCTTTGGATAAAAGCCTCAGCTAAATGAAATGTAATGTAATATGTTTTTAGCTTCACATCATTATGTAATTCTGACAATCAAGGACCATGCTGGGGATTTGGTGAAGGGGCTAAAGTTCTTCTATGCATCAAAGTTAAAAAGTAAAACATGGATATGAAGATCTACTTCATGTCTTTCAAATAATTAGTTCTACAATTGAAAGCAAACTGAAAAGTATTTGTAACAGCCAAGCATTACTATCAAGAAGGATGTTGACCACCTTAAGATACAAAACACAATGTAAATGTAAGATAAGATAAGATATAGGTTGCTACAGCAGTATAATATGTACTGTATATAGAATACAGTAGAAAGAACAATTATAAATGATATGTACAAATACAATACAGATTAGTTGGAACTTTTAATAATTTCAAGAAGTATAGGCTTTATAGATAATGTTGATGTAGGCTACTGAAGTTAAAGTTTGTAGTAGGAAAAACAAAATACATTGTTGTAAAGATCACATGACCAGGAGAGTAGCATATGTATGCCAAGAGAATTTGAGTGATTCTGGACTGAGATATTGTCATTTGAACTTCGAGCTACTGTGGGCCACTTATGAAAGCAACAACGCAGCAACAGAAGGGGCTACAGACATGGGGTCAATTGTTCTGGAAGATTTTCACCTCTACTTTCAAAGGTGAATATATCCACATACCCAGCTAGAAATTGTTTGTTCTAAAAACATTCTGAGAATGTTACATTCATTGTTCTAGGAATGTTTTCAGCGGGAAGTTTTCTTTTGGTTCCCAGAACGTTCTTCTGAAAGGTAGGATAACGTTCTCTAAAAACATTCTTAAAATGTTTGGTGATAACATTGTTAGAACATTATGCCCTCCTATTCTTAAAACGTTTTCAGCGGGAAGTTTTTGTTTGGTTCCCAGAATGTTCTTGTGAAAGGTAGGATAACGTTCTCTAAAAACATTCTTAAAATGTTTGGTGATAACCTTCCTAAAATGTTTTTGATAACATTGTTAGAACATTATGCCCTACTATTCTTAAAACGTTTTCAGCGGGAAGTTTTTGTTTGGTTCCCAGAATGTTCTTCTGAAAGGTAGGATAACGTTCTCTAAAAACATTCTTAAAATGTTTTTGATAACATTGTTAGAACATTATGCCCTACTGTTCTTAAAACGTTTTCAGCAGAAGCTTTTATTTTTTTATGTTGCCAGAATGTTATTATTTTAGAGAAGGATAACATGCTTTATGTTTAAAACATTATGCAAATGTTCTGTGGTAAAAATGTACTACAATATTTTTACATTATTAGAACATAAAGACATAATATTCCTGTAATTGTTCAACTCAAAATTCCTGGGTAAGTGGACTGACCACTGTAACTATTAACACATGTAAAAGGATGACACGGAATCAGCTGGTGAAAGTAACATTTGTTTATTAGAAAAGGGGAGCTGGGAGTGGAGGTTGGTTATGGCAGCAGTGGGAAACAGTTGTTCCAGGGTGGAGAGGCCTGGCTGGTCTTGGGAGTGTGGAAGGCAACAATCCGGCAGGGAATGAGTGCAGGCTGCAGGCTTTCATAGTGTGGCTGATGAGCAGGTTGCAGGTGTGGTTGATTGGAGATTGCTCCCAGCCGTGTCGAGCAGACCAGCAGGCAGGGGGGGGGGGGGGAGAGACACACAGTAGAAACAAACACATACAAACACTACCAGGGGTTTAAGGGACGGGCAGTGATAGTCGGTCCGTTCTTCTATGTCTGTCTTTGGTTTTCTAAGTGTTATTCGATCCATATGACAATAGAGATATGTGCATAAACAACAAAAACACTTGGGGTATAATGTTCGAACAATGTTATCACCAAACATTTTAAGAATGTTTTTAGAGAACGTTATCCTACCTTTCAGAAGTACATTCTAGGAACCAAAATAAAACTTCTCGATGAAACCATTCCTAGAACAATGAATGGTAACATTCTCAGAATGTTTTTAGAACCAACAATGTCTAGCTGGGAACTCAGACATGCCTACGCAAACATGCAATATCATGAATTACATGCTTTTTTAAAAAGGAAAATGTGGTGACATCAGATTTTTTTTAAACATCCTTTTCAAACAAATGCAACAAGTTTGTATTTTAAAGCGCACTACAAATAAATCTGACATTGACCATGACCGTGTTAATATTTCGCATCACAGGAACGTTTTATAAAAAAAGAATAACCTCCTGAAAACATTATCCAAATGTTGCTTTCAAAATGTTCTTCTTTGGTTATCATGTAACATTGAGGGAATGTTTTATAAAGAACATCTTTAATGTGTTACCCCAACAACGTCCAAAACACATCCTTAGAATGCTGCAGGCAAAACTTTCCACCTTTGTTAACATATCACATTAAAGGAACATTTTATAAAACACTTTCTGTCATCTCAGGCCTAATAACATCCTCAAAACATCCTCTGAATGTTGCAGTTAAAACGTTATGTCTTAGTTAACCTTAAACCTTATAGGAACATTATTTGAAATAATAAACATCCTAAAAAGGTTCTTTGAACATCAGATTAAAACGTTTCTTTAAAACCTTATTAGAACCTGTAGATAACGTTAGCCAAAGTTGTGAGAACGTTCCCCGCTAGCTGGGTACTCTATTGTGGAGTCTATTTGTCTATTGCAGAACACTAAGTAAGACAATGAAATGCAGTTTAGCATCTAACCAGAAGTTTAAAAAAGGCAAAGTAAAATGCAGAGTAATGTCCATAATACAGTGGTAGCATAAAGGGTTTTAAAAAAGTGTTATGAAGGTGAATGTTCTATTAATAGACTAAGATATACAGTATGTTAACAGTTTGAACATGTTCAAAAGTAGTCCAAAAATATAGTGCATAAAGTGAATTAGCAGAGTGCAATACAGTTACTATGGGAAAAGTTGGACTATTTTTAGGTTGTACGAAATTAAATAAGTAGTCAAGGTGTATGTAGGCCATAGACTGTATATATTAAGATGTATGATAAAGTTGCCGGAGAAAAAAAGACAAAAAGAGTGTCAATTGCCCGGGGTCACACAGAGTTCAGCCGCTGGACATCTGAGAGGGGGGAGGTGTCAACACCGATGCTGCGCGGGCTCTAAGCAGGTAGCACGCTTTGACTTCCGAGGCACCAATTAAGCTGGACAGTTTCAACGGTAGGTAATGAGCACACATTTCTATGCATTAAAAAGCTAAATATACACCAACTTTTTTGTTTGCCTATAACGGGTAACGTTATGTTAAACATCACAAAAATGTTTATGCAAAACAGCCTCTTATCTATTAACATGCATCTTAAACTGTAAGCTATAGGGTGCGGACGTGCGGTAATAGGCCTACCTTAAAGTGGACCTATCATGCTATATTTTAATAATATAGTATAGGACCATACCTATATAAGGCATATTTATACTTTTTTCTTCTCAAAATACCAAACAGATCATGCATTTTAGCCATGCCTCATTTCGCTCAATTTGCACTTTTTTTAGCTCTGCTCTGCAAGGGCAGATTCAGTGAGAACAGCACCATCTACTGGCCTGGCATATGTACTACAGCGTCTCCAGCGCTTTCGAACGGCAATGGCCGTGGCTGTCTCCTCCTGATTGGTGGAGTTGGCCCAATAGCCGTAGCGCCACTGTCCTGACGTCAGGACAGTGTTCAAATCTGGATCAGTTTTTATCAGATCCGTTGCAGCCCCTTTTTTAGAGATCTGGGTATGGAGGAAAATAGAGAGGGTTGTGTTTTCTGA